TTGTGGTTTGTGATTTGTTAAGGTGTGCTTCTACCGTACCTTTTTAGTGTTATTTGTATTGTTGCTCTTACCTTCTTTACCCGTGGTTCGTACCTACTATTTTTGTGTTAGTAGTCTCATCTCTGCTTTGCTTTTTGGTGCTGTTGTGTAGGTGTAGTAGCGTGGGTTAGCAATGTAGCTATAAGGTCATATCCCGGGGTTGGGACGGGGGTAGGAGGGTCGCAGAGGGGTAGTGTAGTGTCCCATGTGCGTTTTGGCTCATGGAACATAGGGACCCTCACAGGTAAGTCAATTGAGTTGGTGCAAGTTCTCAAGAGGAGAAGGATTCAGGTGACGTGCGTGCAAGAAACCAAGTGGGTGGGCACGAAGGCGCGAGAGGTTGATGGCTTCAAACTGTGGTATTCAGGTTCAGCTAGGAGAAGGAATGGAGTCGGTATTCTCGTAGCACCAGAGCTGCGAGAGTTTGTGGTGAAGGTGAAGAGGATTAGTGATCGTGTAATGTTTATCAAGTTGGTTTTGGATGGGTGTGCGATCAATGTCGTGAGTGCTTACGCACCGCATGTTGGCTTGGCAGACGAAGTAAAGAGGGAGTTTTGGGACGCCTTGGATGGGGTGGTTGTTGGTTTTCCACTGACTGAGAAAGTCATCATTGGAGGCGACTTCAATGGCCATATTGGAGACTCGGCCGAGGGCTTCGAGGACGTGCACGGTGGTTTTTGGCTTTGGCAGCAGGAACCCAGCGGGAGTTTCACTCTTGGAGTTTGCCAGAGCGAGTGATATGGTGGTTGCTAACTCTTGTTTCCCAAAACGAGACGTTCATTTGGCTACATTTGTTAGTGGAGTGGGGACGACACAGATCGACTATCTTCTCCTACGCAGGTGTGATCAAGTGCTCTACAAGGATGCTAAAGTAGTTCCGAGTGAAAAAATCACTACCCAACACAAGCTTATGGTGATGGATGTCATGATCAGATGGGTGAAACATAGGAGAGCTTTGAGTGGCAGCACACAAATCCGGTGGAGGAGACTAAGTGGGGAGAATATCTCTGAGTTGATCAGGCGAGTGCAGGAGAAAGGTGCGTGGGAATTGTTCGGAGAGGCTACAGATATGTGGACGCAGACTGCTAACTGTATCAGGGAAACAGCCAGGGAAGTGTTAGGTGTGAGCTCTGGCTCTGGGAGTAGGCGTCAGGGTGATTGGTGGTGGAGCGATTCAGTCCGTAGTAAGGTGGAAGCTAAGAAGGTGGCATATTTGAGGTACATGGGCTGCAATGTTGAGGAAGAAAGAACGGCTCTACGAGTGGAGTACAAGCAAGCACGTAAAGAAGCCAAGTTAGAGGTTACGAGGGCAAAGAATGCCGCGTTTGAATGCCTCTACAAGGATAATGAGGAGAAAGGCGGTGTTAATACACTGTTCCGGCTTGCTAAGGCGCGTGAGAGGAAGGCCCGAGATTTGGACCACGTCAGATGCGTGAAGGGGAGCGATGGTAGAGTGTTAGTTGAGACTGCCAAAGTGGCTAAGCGCTGGGGGGAGTACTTTTGTGAACTCTTAAATGCAGGAGGAGACCAGAGGCTAGTTCTTGATGAGTTGGGGTAGTCCGGGGCGTCTCGTGTGTATTGTCGGCGCATTTTCCTGGGAGAGGTGGTTCGGGCTCTCCGAGGGATGCGTAGTGGGAGAGCTTTGGGACCAGATGAGATTCTGGTGGAGTTTTGGAAGCATGCGGGCCGTGGTGTGTGGGTTTGGTTAACCAAACTCTTCAATGTTATCTTTCGGACAACAAGGATGCCTGATGAGTGGAGGGAGTCTCTTGGTCCCCTTGTTTAAAGGTAAAGGTGACATCCAGAGCTGCGAGAATTACAGAGGCATCAAACTGCTTAGCCACACCATGAAGGTTTGGGAGCGAGTCATTGAGTATAGGGTGCGGAAAGGGGTATGCATCTCTGAGAACCATCTTGGTTTCATGCCACAGAGGCCATTCACCTCGTGAGGAGGTTAATGGAAGAGTATAGGGCTAGGAAGAAGGACCTCCATGTAGTGTTTATTGATCTTGAGAAGGCGTACGATAGGGTGCCAAGGGAGGTCTTATGGAGGTGCCTTGAGACGAGAAGAGTTCCCATCGCGTACACTCGTGCGATCAAGGATATGTACGATGGGGCTATGACTAGGGTAAGGGCCTCAGGGGGCGACTCTGAGTCATTCTCGGTAGGGATGGGGTTGCACCAGGGGTCTGCCCTTAGCCCTTTTTTGTTCGCCTTGGTGATGGACGTCCTAACTCAAGGTGTTCAAGAAGGGGTCCCATGGTGCATGCTTTTCGCTGATGATATTGTGCTTATCGACGACACACGTGAGGGACTAAACCATAAGTTGGAACGATGGCGCCTTGCCCTTGAGACTAAAGGATTCAGAAAAAGTAGGAACAAGACTGAATACATGGAATGTCGTTTCAACGGCCGGGAAAAGTGGAAGTTAGGATTGACTCTCACGTAGTACCTAAGGTAGACAGATTCTGATATCTTGGATCGGTAATCCAGGCGGATGGGGAGTTAGACGGGGATGTTGGACATCGTGTTGGAGTGGCTTGGGCCAAATGGCAGTTGGCCTCAGGGGTGTTGTGTGACCCGAAGATTTCACCCAGGATGAAAGGTAAGTTCTACCGATTCGTAGTCAGACCTGCTATGTTATACGGGGCAGAGTGTTGGGAGGTTAAGAAGACTCATGTGTGTCGTCTGCATGCGGCGGAGATGCGGATGTTAAGATGGATGTGTGGGAAGACAAGGTTGGATAGGATTTCGAACGAAGTTATCCGACGTCAGGTAGGCATGGCGCCGGTGGAAGATAAGTTGCGAGAAGCGAGGTTGAGATGGTTAGGGCATGTGAGACGGCGGGATGCTAATGCCCCTGTGCGGAGGTGCGAGAGGATCACGGTTATCGGTGGAAGTAGGGGAAGGGGTAGACCAAGGAAGAATTGGAAGGAGGTGATTAGGCAGGATTTAAGACTTTGTTAGTCGGTTTAATCGTTGTGCCCATGCCTTAGAGGGGGGGTGAATAAGGCGTTGACAATCTTTTCGGAGTTTAATAAAAACGGTGTTGGCAAATGCAGAAGCAATAAGTAAAACGCAAAAATAAAAGCGTAAAGTAAATGCACACCGATTTTATACTGGTTCGGGAACTCCCTACTCCAGTACCTTAAGGCTCCTCCTTAAGGATTTCCGAATCCACTAAGTCTCGGTCTCTTGAACTCCGTCAAAGCACCGCACTAGTTTGTCAAACAACCCTTGCCAATAGTATTCACTCCGAGATTTTACAACGGCTATCTCGTACCGTTCCCCCAAGGATTTCAAAGGCTATCCTTGAACCTTTACCCAAGGATTTATACGGCTATCCTTAACCGTTACAACGTGAGAATTTAACGGCTATTCTCGACCGTAAGAAGGTGTGTTTGAGAAACACAAACAAGAGTTCTACACAACGGCTTGAATATAAAAATGAAGAACAAAACTTAGCCGGTGTAGAAGACAAGTATACTCTCTCAAAAATACAATTCAAACTTATGAATATGAGAGTATATAACTAGAAACACAAGCTCAAAGTGTGTGTAAAAAATCAGGAGTTTAAGGCTCTTGAAATAGCCAAAATATTAGAAATAATTAATAAAAGAATGAACACACTTAAAATATAAAGAGAGGATGTTTATAGCTTTGTTTCTTGAAGAAATATGAAGGATTAGGCTTGTATTTATAGTAGAAGATGTTAATTAGCCGTTGGGAGGTGATTAGGGTTGATTTAATTCAAATTTTGCAATCAGGAACAGTGCTGTAACGGATCCGGTAGGCAGGTGCCGTCCACACGATAGCAAGGTACCGTGCGTACGGTAGGGGGTACCGTGAGAGGCGGTACCACGGTACCGTGTAGCACAAAAAACTTCGTCCGGTTCTGGCGGCACCTAGTTAGGGCGGGTGTGGCCATCCGTTCCGGCCTACCGTACGGTACCTGGGTACCGTCTCACGGTATAGGGGTACCATGTAGGCGGTATACCCTACCGTTTGGGGGTACCGTGCCACTGTCCTGATTTTTCCAAAATTCCCGTAATCCTTCGTGTTTGAGTTTAAAACCTTTTGGATATTTGAAAATGTTTATGGGATGGTTTTGATCATATTTTGTGAGTGCTTTTGAGCTTGTGAATTTAGGTATATAAAATCATATTCTTACATTGTTTTTCTACCTAAATTCTACGCTAGTTTAGTGTTTCGACTTCATTCTTGAGAACCGAATCTTAATGGATTCTTGTTGTACCTGAAACACTTAAACAAACGTCAAGCTCTTATATTGTTTGTTAACATCAAAACATGAGGCTTAGCAAACCAAGGCTAACAGACTTCTCACCCTGACTAAGGATATGGCCTTAGATAGGAACCTTTGGAGGACTAGGATTAAAGTAGCTGGTTAGGAGCTCGGTGCTGCAGAGGTTTTTTGTAGTGTGTTGTGTTTGATTGGTATCTTCTACTTTTGCTTGCTGGACTTTCATTTCATTGTACTTGGTGCTTTATCCTGTTATATCATGTTATATCCTGTTATCCTGTTATATTGTGTTCCGTACCATATTTTTTGTGCGGGTTGAGCCAGGGGTCTCTTGGAAACAGCCTCCCTACTTTCGAGTAGAGGCAAGATCTGCGTACACAAACCCTCTCCAGACCCTACTGTAGTGGGATTCAACTGGGTTGTTGTTGTTGTTGTTTCATATGTTAAACACTACACGATACTCGGTCAGGTTCAAATCAATGCCATAAAAAACCCTCTGATGGATGGTCCATGCTTATATGAGTATCCCATATCTTGATATCTCTTTCTTTGATGTTAGATATTCGTGCCCATGTAGAGATTAAGCATGGGATATTGGACTACCTTTAATATTTTTTCTCCTCGTTAGGCGAGAGGATGGTGAGGGATGTAAAAGGAGATGATGCTAACTTCCCCAATGCTGCCCATTATGATTCCTCGTGTAGGGAAGTCAGGTCCAGGCATGTTCTCGAGTAGTTCTTGCAGCTGCATCAAAAAGGGTTGAAATTCAAAGCAAACACAGTTATTAGCAGTGTGAATCATGTTAGAATAAAGGCCCAACGCTAGAGGGGGGGTGAATAGCGTTTAAAACAAAATCGCAGGAAATTAAAACGAGAGCGTTAAAGTAAAGAGCGTAAGGAAGGAACACACCGGATTTTATCTTGGTTCACCACAACGTGTGGCTAATCCAGCCCCCCGAGAGACTCTCTCGAGCTACATTAACTCCGTTAAGCTTAAGGGTGCTTAACAAACCGATACAACTTGAGAACCCGAGTCACACGAGCCTCAACACCTTTGCTCGGAGATACCGCACTCCAAGACTTCTCACGAAGGAACAAGGAACTTCCTTCGAGTTTACAACAAGGGAACAACCTCCCTTAAAGTGTATGAAAACACTTAAACACTCTGGAATAAAACTCTCACAAAGAGTAGATATGAGTGAACTAGTAAACGCTCAAGAACACGACAATTTCTTCAAGAATTGGCTCTCAAATAGCTAAGAAAAATAGGAATGCTTATGCAATGAAAGAGTATTGAAATGTTGAAGAATTGTGTGTCAAATGAGAGGATTTGGGTGCCATTTTATAGCCCTAAATGGGATAAACCCGTTGCTAGAATTTCCAACAGGATGAAGACAAATTTTTCAGGGACACAGGCTGATAGTCGATTGTCAAAGCATGATAATCGATTATCCAAAGATTCCCTGTCCAAAAATTTAAAATTCTATCCGTTGGAGGACAACGATAACCCAGATAATCGATTGTCAACAAGTGATAATCGATTATTGGTCCTCTCAGAAGATTCTGGGTTTTGGCTGCAAAGACTGATAATCGATTATTGCAAATCTGATAATCGATTATTGCGTGCTTCAGAACTTTGGAAGTTCAAAGCTGCAGTGGCTGATAGTCGATTGTCACTAAGGTGATAATCGATTATCACCTAGCTAAAGTCTTGCCAGCTGAAACCCGTTTTGAAAAACCGAGGTCCAAAAACGAAGTGTTTCCAAAAGTAAAAACCAGGTTTGTAAAATATTGTATATGGTATTAAATAGTGAAAACAAGACTTGTTTGGTAAAAACCAAGTCTCCAAGGTCGTATAATGCGTACGTACGGTTTAGACCGTTTTTCACGTATTAGACCGATTGACCAAGATACAAAAGTGGTTTTTATAAAATAATTATTTGGAAACATTTTTAAAATGCTCAGAGGTAAAAACAGGGTTTAAAATATTGAAAACCACGGAGTTGGTTCGGGCGCCAAAAACCGAACGCCGAAAGCCGAACGTCGAAAGCCGAACGCCGACTTAGGTGGTTTTGGTTCTGAGCAAGGTCCAGGGATTTTAACAATAAAAGAAATCATCAAATATTTTATGGATTGTAAAAATTGTTTTGACTATTTGAGAACCGAGACTTGAATATATTGTCGGTTTTGATCACAAAAGACCGACTCGACTAAGTCTTCAATTCTTGATCTTGTCCTTGAGTCTTTTAGGTCTTGTTCCAAGCCATTCTTCACGCCTTGAGTTATTCAACGAAACTCTTTATATCCACGGCGGTTTGGCAATTATCAAAACTTGTCAGAAATGAACACGACTTTAGTTTATCGTACAAAGTGTGTTCCAACAATTTCCCCCTTTTTGATAATGGCAAACAAGACGGGGATATGCATAGGGTTTTGATCCTTTTGGAAAAAAAAATTCCCCCTTAAAAAAATTCCCCCTTAATATATGCATAGCCCTTATCTTCCCCCTTTTGACATTAACAAAAAGATTGTTAACAACAAAGATCATAAAGATTTTTTATTAATTAATTAAGGGAAATAGCGGAGTACATAACGAAAGCATATTAAAAGATGATAAAATAAGGAAGAGAAGAAAGTAGAGCTAGAGCTCTAGAAATCCGGGGAAAGATCATTGAGAAGTTGTTCTTCGTCAATGTCTTCTTCTTCTTCTTCATCTTCGTCTCCGTCGCCATCATCATCATCATCATCATCAGCTTCTTCTTCCTCTTCTTCTTCTTCTTCTTCTTCTTCTTCGTCCACCTCGTCATCTCTACCAACGCTTTGAGTCCCACTTTGTTCACCTCCGAAATTCGGTGGAGGAAAGTAAGGGACTATTTGAGCGTACGGGTAATTGACAAAGTCAAAATACCCGTGAAGTTCACGGCTCAAGGTATTGACGTTGTGTGCCGTTTTGGAGACGTTGGTGTCAATCCGAGAGAGAGTGGCGGTTAAGGCTGCCATTTGCTCGGCGAGAAAAGGATTGGTCGAAGTGGTGGCGGCTGAGGCAGTGGCTCTCGGTTGGCGGCGTGGACGAGGCTGTCGAAACGGAGGGCTGCCAATGCTGCCAATGCTTTGTCCCCTTTAAGGCTGCCAATGCTTTGTCCCCTTTATCTTTGGCCCAACATCTGTTTTGATGTTATATTCTTCAAGAATCGCCATGACAAGGAGGGCGTAGGGGAGCGGCCGATTGTCGGAGGTGGCCGTGAACATGTGAGTCATCACAAATTTACACCAATTGAGATTGGCGTTGTGAATCATCGCATGAGTTGTCTTCGTGTCCTCGTGAGAGAGAGTGGTGTGATTGAACTTCCTGGGCTTGGGAATCCGTGTCAAAACATAAAAAATGAATCGAAACACGGGGCTCATGGAAGCAATCGTAGGGCGCCGCTGTTGGGGAGTGGGGACGAAGTGTCGAATGCCCACTTCCTCCAAGAGAGCGGTCTCATTGAACCGCGCTCTTTCTTCTCCGACGTAGAGCCCGAGATCCTGTCCGTCCCGTCGAAGCCCTGTGAGAATTTGAATGTTTTCCTCATTCAAATAGATGTCCACCCCGTTGACGTTAGAGATCAACGCTCCGTCCTCATCCTTTTTCAAGTTCGAGTAGAAAGATCGAACAAGAAAGGGTTGATAATTGACCTTCTTGATGTCGAGGAGATCGAGGAAGTTTCCACGTTCGAGGATAACCCGTGCCTCACGTGAAATGGAGTCATGAATGAAGCGGGCTGTGGAGAATCGGAGAGGGAGAATTTCCCGATGCTCAAACTTTTCCGAGAACCGCGTCGCCTCTTCGCGGTCGTTGAACCAAAGGAACGACCCGTCGAGATACTTGTGCGCCGGTGGTGGAGAAGCCGAGGAAGAAGCCACGTTCTTGCCGGTGCGGGATCTTTTTCTTTGACATCCTGCCATTTCAACAAAGAGAGAGAGAGAGAGAGAGAGAGAGAGAGCAAGACAAAAAAATAGAAATTTGCAGGGATTTTGCAAGAACACTGAAGAATAATTGCAAGAAGGATGAAATATTGATGAATATATGAAGGAATTGTGATTTGAGTGAGTAAAAAATGAAAGGATATCACCAATATATAGTGGAAGAGGCCTGAGATGCGTTTGGGAAGTCAAAAAGGTTCCTTGAATGCAGTTCTAACGTCTCTGTAACGGTCAGATTTTTGAAAAATCGTCGTTGATAATCGATTTACCCAACGTGTAAATCGATTATCTGAGTCTTCAGATTCTCCGCCGAAGGATCTGCAGACTTCAATAGTCGATTGCCTTGTTTTAGTCAATCGATTGTTTTGCGCCTGACTTCAAATAAAGTTCTGCAGCTCCATATAATCGATTATCATGACTTGGAAAATCGATTGTTGAGGTTTTGCGATGGATTTGCTCCAAACATCTGCGGACAGTGATAATCGATTATCTCAAGGTTGTAAATCGATTTACACTCAGTCCTGGGAACTAGAAATCGATTTCTTTTGTTCCCCCTGACTTTGACACTTGAAAATAAAATTAAAAAAAGAGCCCTGCAAAAAAGAATTAAAAACGTCTCCGACGTTCAAGTTAGTACGGACCAAAAATAATAATTAATGCACAATTTAGATCATCGTGGAGTCAAGGATTCCGAGTTCACTACGAATGCGGAAGAACGACTCTTTCTCTAAAGGTTTTGTGAAAATGTCGGCTAATTGGTTGTGTGTTTCAACGAACTCAATTTCGACATCACCTTTGAGAACATGATCTCTAATGAAATGATGCCTAATGTCAATATGTTTCGTCCTTTAGTGAAGAACCGGATTCTTCGTCAAGCTTATGGCACTAGTATTATCACATCGAAGAGGGA